GGTTTTTTTTTTTTTTTTTTTTTTTTTTTTTCCTCCTTATCAATTTTCCAATCATGAGATACGCCCGCTCGAGTTTCCTTGCACCATCAAGACTGGCTAGCTGACATGTCCCTGATCTGTGGTCGCTGCAACGGTGTCTCTCGCCTGACCCAGTTGTGCATCCTTCCCGATCTTTGCGATCTGCGAGACTTGGCGGACGTGATTGTTGGTGTGCATACGACCGGACCGGCAGACCCGGCATCTTATTCGGCATTGATGTATCCTTGCTGTGCGGTTCGAGGAACACGTAGATAAAAATCCCCCTTTGAATTTCCAGACTGAAGTCGACGTTTGTTGCCGGGCATCACGTGAGCACGGGACCCGCTCTGGCGAAGACGTTGACCCCTGCCAGTTGATGGTTTATTTTGTTGTTGTTTTCCTTTGTTTTCCCCCTACCCTGCACCAGGTCGGTTGTTGTCTGGACTCTGTACAAGCGAAAGAAATTGCACGATTCGCGTGAAGACGCAAGAAGCAGAGATTATAAAAAACAAGCCTCAAAAATGAAGAATATGCACATGTGGATGTAGTTGCGCAACTGGGCCTTGCATTGAACCATGTCGCCTACTTGAGATGAGACCGTTGTGCAGCGGCACGTACAAAGAAATCGTTTTCTGCTAGACTAGAATAATGTGGCAAATATCTAGGTTACCCGAACCTTCCTTTGGCCACAATCGCAAACGGTACTAATCCTGTGAAACACAAATGGTTAAACCCGTTACATTTCACCGTTAATGGCAAAAAACAAAACACGAGTTTGCAGTTTCAGTGCCGACGATGAACTATATGATATACAGTATCGTCGACTTTATCGTCAAAGGCACCTCAGTCACGTGGCTTCGTGGTTTAGTGGTATAATTCTCGCTTAGGGTAACACCCCAAGCATCCGCATGCGAGAGGTCCCGGGTTCGATCCCCGGCGAAGCCCTTCTTTCCCTTTTTGCTGTCGCGTCCAAATACCCATGTGTGGTGGGTGGGTGGACTCTTAATTTTTGGCGCCCGCCGGAATGTTCAAGGATTCCATTCGTCGTCGATTGGGGGGAAGCTCGTGGGGAACGCGCGGAGGATTGGCCCCTGTGGTGCGCCAGCAATTGGGGCAGGAGCTTCCAGAAGCCTCCTTCCAAAGGTCCCATGCCACTCACCACTCAACGTCCACTCAACGTCGGGCGCGTCTGATTGTTCTGCAAGCGCGGCGGGGTCGAAAACGACTGATGATGTACAGCACCAACATCCTCGACGAACCTTTTTTTTTTTTTTTTTAGA